GCCGCCCGGCGCCTCGGCCGAGGGCAGCCCGTTCATGGCTGGGTCGGCGCGGCCTGCCCTGCTCCAACGTCCCAGTCCGGGCGCCCTCAGGCCCCGCACCTGCGGCCCGGCCGCCGAGCTCAGCCGCCGCCCGCAGGCCGCGCTTTGTTCCTTCCCAGACTCCTCGGACCCCGCCTATGCTCCACCCCCTGCGCATGGGCGGGGCCTCCCTTAAGGAGGCGATGGCTGCGGCCAGCAAAGGATGCAGAGGAACCCACCGAAGAACTGAAAAGGCGGGGCGAGACCGACGGGGTCAGGCACCCTTCCCTGCGGCCTCACCCCTATACAATTGTTCTACAGTTATCAGCCCACCCCCACCCCCAAGGAAAAGGACCTGAAAGTGGGAGCAGGATACTGGGGCAAGTCTGTGCCCCAGGCTCTTGTTGGACCGATGTGCCTGGTTCTTTAAAGTGCAACGAAGTCTCTAGTACCTGGAGTGGACTTATGGTGGAATACAGGATCAGAGCGCTCAAGGAAGGGGAGGGAAGCCATCCGAGGGAACTCACATTCCGGTGGGAGAGGTACGGGGCCAGAGACAAGCTAGTGGCCCCAACCCTCTTGTTCTACCAGTCACCCCTCATCCTGATTACAAAAACATCTAGCGGGTAGAACAGACCATGGAAAGGTGAGCAGGGCTGGGACTCGCATGCACACTCAGCCAAGAATGAACAAACCACACAGACCAACAGCTGCTTTTCTAGAGGGCTTTTCTCCGAGGGTCAGGGGATGGAAGGTCTCAATGTTGCAGCTGCTTTAGGCTGCCCAGGGCCTCAGCACAGGCCCGGATGAGGCCACACAGCTGGATACTAGTCTCCAAAGAGCTGCTAGAGCCCAGCTCAGCTGAAGCCCAAGTTAGCTTCTGCAGGAGGGCTGTCTGCGTGCAAGCCACCACATCTGCATTTGGAGGTGCAGCCGGAGGGGGTGGTGCCTGGACTGCCTTGAGCCCAGCTGCAGCTCCCTCACAGTGCTCTGGGCGCGGTACTGGGGGCTGAGGTGTAGGCCGAGGGGCCGAGGGGAGCTCTGTGCCAGAGGCAAGCTGGTGTTCCCGAGCTTGAGAGAGGGCAGCCTGCGCATTCAGAGCTAAAAGAAAAAAAAAACAGGTGGAACAGTCAGGGTGCCTGGTCCATCTCTGCCCTGAGCCACTTACTTTTTCTATGCGTGTATCTTTCTCCCTGTAAGGCAATGCATCCATTCCCTGGTCTTTACCCATGCACATGCTAGGCAAGCACCAGACCACTGGGTTTACACTTCAGCACCAGCTGCCTGACAGTTATGCCCTACTCCGTGTACCCATTAATTCTGCCTGAGGGCTAGAGAGATGGTTCAGCCCTTAAGAGCACTGACTTCTCTTGCAGAGGATCCGGGTCGATTCCCAGCACCCACATGGCAGCTGACAACCGTCCCTAACTCCAGTTCCAGGAGGAACCCGATGCACTCTTCTGATCTCCTCCAGCACTGTATGATGCGGGTGCACTTACATAATGCAGGCAACACACCCGTACACGTAAAAATAAAAATAAGGCCAGGCGTAGTGGCCCAAGCCTTTAATCCCAGGAGTCAAGAGGCAGAAGCAAGTGGATGTCTGTGGGTTCAAGGCCAGCCTGGTCTACATAGTGAGTTCCAGGCCAGCTGGGGCTACAGGGAGACCCTGTCTCAAAAAGACACATAAATAAAATAAATAAACAAACAAACAAACAGACCTTGCCTGAGCACTAGGATATGTACCTCAGGGGTAGAGCGCTTGCCTGGCATGTGTGAGGGAGGCCCTGGGTTGCATAGCCTCTGTGTGTGTGTGTGTACGCGCGCCTGATTTAATTTAAACTCTCTTCACGGGTCGGGAACGACTGATGCTTAGAGTTCTTACTGAAACGAGAAGTACCTGAATCCCGCCGCGCACTCCACTGTTACCTCCCAGATTGGGCCACTATCACTACGGTACTTTCCCGACCGTGCACACTCGGCCGCTCACCCGGATTATCTTTATCCACGTCGGAGTCGAGCTCCTGACAAGCCACGCAGTAGATTTTCCGCTGTTTATCCTGCAGGAGGATCGTCTGGGAACCAGAGAGTACACGGAACACGGGTGAGCCCGGGGCGGCGGGCGGCGCAGGGGGGCGCGCGGGGGAAGTCCCGTGTGGCCCGGTCCTCCTCACCCCGCAGTCGGCGCACGTGTCGCCCAGCATGCGGTACCCGCGGAGCAGGTAGTCGCCCATTAGCCGGGAGATGCGATCCTGCCGCTCCCGTCGCGCCTGCAGCACCTTCGTCTCGGCCTCGGTCGGGGGCTCCCAGGAGAAATCATCGACTTCTGGGGAAAGACGCACAGGGAGCGGCGTCACGGACGACACGGCTGCCTCCCGCATCCCAGCACCACGGCCCGAGCAGCCCAAGCCCTCACCAGAGCCGTTCAGCGCCATGTTGCCGTGCTCGCAGCTGAGCCCGCCGGAAGTGACGCCACCCGCGTGCGCCTTCGCGGAGGCTGCGTTCCTTTCCATTTGAGCGGAAGCGAGAGAGGAAGTGACGCATACGGAAAGCCTCGGACTTCACTTTGCCCGGAGTGGGGCGTGGCCACTGGGCGCTAGACCGGATCTCAGAGGCGCGGCTCTCCGTCGGAACCCAGGCCTTGAAACTTTAGAGAGTGGAGTGCCATCTCCATGGCAACACTGCTTGGGTCTCAGGAGTGGACCTGAGAGATCCGAACCTAATCCCCGATTCCCGGGGACAGGCGAGACCGTGGCGTCCTCACCACAACCAACGCCAAAATGACAACTGGTGCTTGACCGAGCGCGGACCCTCTTTCTGGCTTGGGACCCAGCCGGCCCCCGGGAGCATCGCAGTCGTTCCGCCAAGGATTGGAACTGATGCAAACCCTGCCCCTAAGAAGGAATATTTCGTCGGTTTAGCCCTGCAAAGCTTCCTGATTGCAGAGCGCCATGAGCCAGGCTTGGTGACCCACGCCTTTGATCCCAGCACCAAGAAGGCAGAGGCAGGCGAAGGCTTTGTGGGTTCGAGACCAGTCCGGTCTACGTAGCGAGATGCAGGCCAACTGGGGCTACACAGTAAGACGCTGGTCTTAAACGGGGGGAGGGGGGCGCTGACCAGGAGAGATGGCTCAGCAGTTAGAGCACAGAGAACCCGGGGTCAGTTCCCAGCATCCACATGGCGGCTAACAACTGTCCATAACTCGAGTTCCAGCCGACCCCCTCTTCTGACCTCCACGGTCATTGCACGACACGGGTGCATTCACATACATGCAGGCAATACACTCATAAAATAAAAAATTAAAAATTTTTAAAGAATGTTTTATTATTTTTATTTTATGTGTAGGAGTGTATTGCCTGCATGTATGTGAGTGCACCCGTGTAATGCAATGCCACGGAGGTCAGAAGCGGGCTTCGGATTCCCCTGGAACTGGAGTTAATGACGGTTCATAGCCGCCATGTGGGTGCTGGGAATCGAACCCAGGTCCTCTGCAAGAGCAGTCAGTGCTCTTAACCGCTGAGCCATTTCTCCAGCCCCAAAATAAAATATTTTAAAAAGAAAGAAAAGCACCGTGGGTATGCACAGGTCCAGTTCCAGCCTGCCCTGTGATGCCAGCTGGTGAGGGTGGCTTACACTTGTGACTGGGTCAGTTGCAAATTAAATTACTAGTGCTGCCTGAACAGTGGTCTGATTATTTTTCTTCTTCTGTGTTCCTTTTCCATATGTATCTTTGCCTTCATTAGATTGAGAGAAGTCAGTTAGGGGTAGGGGTGCTTAGACACACAGCCTTTGGTGCTTTGAGTCTATAATATAGACATAATTTAAGTTTTTAAATTTTTTTTTTGAGACAGGGTCTCCCTGTAGCCCCAGCTGGCCCGGAGCTTACTATGTAGACCAGACTCTCACAGAGATCCCACCTGCCAAGTGCTCAGAGGAGTTCTGGGATTATGTGGGCCACCATGCCTGGCTAATTTTTTTTTTTTTTTAAAGTAGGATAGAGCTGGGTGTGGTAGCACATGTCTGTAATCCCAGCCCTTGAGAGGCTAAGGCAGGTGAGTTGACAGTTCAAGGTCAGCCTGGGCTGCACAGCAAGTTCTGGGACCACCTGGGCTAAATAGTGAGATTCTGTCTCTAAAAACCAAAAAGAAAAAGACAAGACACAGGCAGTTATAGATTTTCAGTACACTTTATGAGCTGGGGATATAGCTCAGTGGTAAGGCGCTTGCCTAACCTTACATGAGTCTCAGTAACTCAGTTACAAAAGGATCAAATCTTAGACCTTTCACAGTTATTAGCGATTTGGGCAAGGAAGGAAGGATGTTGTGAAAGGTATTCTTTTGGTTTGTGTTTTTTAATTTTTGTTTTTGCTTTGAAACAGGGACTTGCTGGGTTGCTCAAGCTGTCTTTAATGTTGCAATCTTCCTGCCTCACCCTCCTGAGTTTGGGAATTATAGGCATGTACCACTATGCCCACCTTGATTAATAAGATTTTTTTTTTTTTGTCTTTTTGAGACAGGGTCTCCCAGTAGCCCCAGTTGGCCTGGAACTCACTATGTAGACCAGGCTGGCCTCGAATGCAGAGATCTGCCTGCCTCTGCCTCCCCAGTGCTGGGACTAAAGGTGTGTGCCACCATGCCTGGCTGATTAATAAAATTTTTAATTTTTTGATTACATTTATTTATTTGAGGGGGTGTTTGAGAGGGCCATGGTGCATGTATGGAAGTCAGAGGTCAATTAGCAGGTGTAGGTTCTCTCCAGAATTCCAACCTTTGAGTGCCCGGGATCCAACTCAGGTTGTCAGACTTGGTGCAAGCACTTTTACCTGCTGAGCCATCTAACTGGCCCTAACTAAAGTTTTTCTATAGGCCAGGCAGGATGGCACATACCTTACAGCACTTGGAAGGCAGAGGCAGGTGGATCTCTGTGAATTTGAGGCCAATCTGGTCTACATAGCAAGTGAGTTCCAGGCCAGCCAGTGTTATATAGTGATCCCTGTCTCAAAAAAGTAAAATGAAAAGAAGACTCAGATCATATGGCTGGAAAAGTCCACTATCAATCATGGTGATCTCCTTTAAAAGAAAAGCCATGGCTATGCAAGTCGAGCAGCATTCTCACCCGCATTATAGGACACTCCACACAGTGACACCACGCCCGGCCCAACAACAGAATTCATTTTATTCTGAAGTGTACAGAGAATGTTCTCCAGGACAGAGGATATATTAGGCCTTAAAAACTCTAAATCAGGCTGGGCGTGGTGGCGCACGCCTTTAATCCCAGCACTTGGGAGGCAGAGGCAGGTAGATCTTTGTGAGTTCAAGGCCAGCCTGGTCTACGTAGTGTCCCTTCCAGGATGCTCTTGACATTTTAGACAAAATACAAAAAAAAAAAAAAAAAAAAAAACCTCAAAATCCAGCCAGGCATGGTAGTGCAGGCCTTTAATCCCAGCACTCAGGAAGCAGAGGCAGTTGAATGTGAGTTCAAGGCCAGCTTGGTCTACATGCGAGTTCAGGCCAGCTGGGGCTACTGGGAAACTCTGTCTCATAAATATTAATTAAATGATAAAAAAAAAACCTCTAAGTCCCTATAACTTTAAAAATATTGAGGTGGGGGAGAGATGGCTCAGTGGGTAAGAGCACATACTACTCTTGTAGAAGATCTGAGTTTGGTTCCCAGCACCCACATCAGGCGGCTCACAACCACATATAACTCCAGTTCCAGGGACTCCAATACCTCTGACCTCCATGGACAATGGAAATCATGTGCATATACCCACATACATATACATAATTAAAAATCTTTAAAAATAAAAGCATTGGGGCTGGAGTGATGGTACAGTTATGAGCACTGGATGCTCTTGGACAGAACTCAGGTTTTCCTGGCACCCACATGGCAGCTAACAATAATCTGTAACTTCAATTCCAAGTAAACCAACACCCTCTTCTGACCTCTATGGGTATTGCATGACACAAGTGCGCGTACATGCATGCAGGCAATACACTTCATACACATAAAATAAATTTTTGGTTTTTTTTGAGACAGGGTCTCCCTGTAGCCCCAGCTGTCCTGGAACTTACTATGTAGACTAGGCTGGCCTTGAACTCAGAGAGATCCACCTGCCTCTGCCTCCTGAGTGCTGGGATTAAAGGCGTGTGCCACCATGCCCAGCCCTATTGTGAGGTTTTTTTTTTTTAATCATAGAAAAATATTTCAATGCACATTCAACTGCCATGACAAGGGCAAAGCACAAAGCATCACACTAGGCATTTTTGGAATGAAATTTGCTAAGACTGAAGAGGCTAACATATAAATATTCATGTTGCAATACGGTTAACAAAAATAGCTCCATCATATATCTGGGAGGCAATGGGCAGAGAAGAAAGTGGATTAGTGCTAGTTCAAGAAAGCTCAAAGAATGTGTGTGAAGGTCACTAAGGAGCTGGTGTACTTTAAAATTCTCTACCATAAGCCTAACACAGACCTGGCTGGAAAAATTCTTAGGGCAATCAAGACTGAGAATATCTGGCCCCAGAAGCCTGCCCTCCCCTCCACATGTATTCCAACAACCTGGCCAGTGCATTAGTGTGGAGGGAAAAGAGTAAAGTGATGGTTTGTACGAAAGACAATTCAGTGAGAATCAGAAATAGCTCTTTGTGAACAGTTTCAAAATTCCTTATTGCTCTTGAGCACCTGAAAGTCTTCTTAAATGCCAAAGATTCAAGTTGGGGTCTATCCTGGACAGCAAATAGAGATAAAAAGGCAAATATTCTGCCAGGCGTGGTGGCGCACGCCTTTAATCCCAGCACTCGGGAGGCAGAGGCAGGTGGATCTCTGTGAGTTCGAGGCCAGTCTGGTCTACATAGTGAGTTCCAGGACAGCTGGGGCTACAGGGAGACCCTGTCTCAAAAAAGACCAAAATAAAAAAAAAAAAAGGCAAATATTCAACTTGAGACATTCTCACATGAGCTCACCTGCCCCCTACCCCTTTCTTTTGTGGGATTGGACAGGGTTCATACATACAGAGAAAGCTAAAGTTTCATATATATATATATATATATATATATATATATATATATATATATTTAAAATCTTGAAAACAGCAGATCCAAGAAGATGACCAGGCAGAGCTGAGTTTCATCTATGGCTTTTGAAATCACTGAGGTATCCTGAATAATCATCATTTCTGACACTTATGGTTGCTTTCCTGTGAAAGTCACATTCAAAAGTGACCTACCCCAGCATCGGTGAAGGAACCCGAGAAGGGGAGGGGAGCAGCTGAAGGCCTGCTGTAAAATAGAAACAGTGTAGTCATAGGTCCAGGAAGAGGCCAGGAGTGTGTTTGAAACTGAGGGGCTCCAAGGATGGAAGCTCCTCTGGACAGAGTGATTTTCCCAGTTTAATCAACAGGTGGCTCTCTCTTTTAAAAAAAACTTTATTTTATATGTATGAGTGTATTGTCTGCATGTATATAAGTGCACC